GTATTAGAGAGTGAGTGCCAATCTCCCCCATGATGTTTTGCCATCTGCCGTGTGTGTGTGTGTGTGTGTGTGTGTGTGTGTGTGTGTGTGTGTGTGTGTGTGTGTGTGTGTGTGTGTGTGCCTAGGGTCATGGAAACATGAAGTGACATCACTTCATATATTATGAATCCTTCTCTAAATGTCTGCTTGATTATTTTGGTGCTTTAGAATAATTTAAATTAATGAAATAATCTAAAAGGTTCCTCCCGTCAGCACTCTGTTGTACATTCAAAGCTCTGAACCTGTTGACGGTATCTCCCCCAGCCTGGATGCAAATAAAATCTACAATAAATCAAAAGAACGCAAAGTTCTTATCAGGTGCACTTTCTCACGTCGATAGCATTCTGCCACAGGCAACAGATCTGGTCTTCAGTGAGTACTCGAGGCGTGTTGTCATGGTGACAGGCCTTTTGAGATCATCCCCACCCACTTGTGGTGAGAGCGGGTGAGAGGCATCGTGTGTAAGGCAGGGTAGGGAGGGTGGGGAACAAAACAAACAAAGTGTGTCGTCGTCTAAAGGGGCCCCCAGTGGAGCCGGGTCGGGTCGGACGCCATCTGAACAATGTTGTTCCATCAGCTCTGATGGAGCACAATAACTGGTGTGCGTTGCACCACCTGAGCTGCCGTGTCATTGTCTACTTCCCGGTAATAAATAGGACCCCCACTTACACACACACACACACACACACACACACACACACACACACACACACACACACACACACACACACACCATCAATCTATCTGTCTGGCTGACCATCTGTGTTGTTACTCAGAAAAGGTAATAAGACTAACCCCTGCTGTCCGCTTGCTGGATGCTGAGGCAGATGATCAGAGGATGCAGGCTGTCATATCTCTACGGAGGGAGGGGTGGGGGGCTGGAGAATACATTAAGTCTGAGTCATGAGAATATCCATGCTCACTATGCTCACTCCTTTTAATTCAGCTTCTGCAACAAGCCAAGCGCTTTATTGCTTTTTATCTTCTCGTCCAGAGAGGAGGAAGAGGGATTTTAATACCATTAAGCACCAGCGGAAGCATGCCCCGACTAGACTGGTGGACTGCCTTTGGGTATCTGAGTTGGCATCTTCCCTCATCAGCCACAGCTGTAGGATGCTGTAAGCCCTTTTGTTTGAACCGTGTCAATGGTCCAACAACAGCTGGTGCCGGACAGCCGGGGGAGAGGAAGGGGATTTGTATACAAGCAGGGATTAGGGCATCTGTACAAAGCGAAGGCAATGAATGATAGGGTATTTCAGAGGAAGATGGCATCAAGAGGTTAACAAGGAGGGTGAGGAGGAAGCATAAAAAGGGGGAAAGTGGAATGGGATGAAAGAGAATAGGAGAAGAGGAGATTTGAGGAACATGGAGACTAAAGCCGGAGTTAGATGAGGGTAAGATGGAAGGATTAGCTAGAGGGTGTGTGACTAGAGCTGAGGTAGAGCAAAGAGGGTTTTGTCAGCAGGTGAAAGACAACACGGAGGACTGGATGAACTGCAAATGATCTATAGGGTCAGAATCTGATCACAGAGAGACATTAAGGACCTGGTAAATCCAGTGAAAAGGACAGACGCCGGAACACACGGGGCCGTAACGGGGCTCTCTAATGACCACGTGCACAACGGGCGCACAACGCTCAGATTAACCCAATCAAATCGAGTTTCTGTGAGGGGGGAATTTACTTAACATGCTGCCAATGGTGGCTGAATGAGCTCTGATCAGATTTTTCCGTTATCACATTCAGTTGAAAAGGAGCTGCTGAAAGCTTTTCTTTTCAGCAGCTATTACGCAGCGTTAGATACGGGCGATGGCAGAGTGGCAGGGAAAGAGCCCGTATCAAATAAACCTGTTTTCGGTCGGGTTATTTTTAGTTTGGGGGCTGGAAGATGGTGATATACTCGAACAGGTCATTAGCCAAATGAGTCGTTGGGGGGGGGTCTTTGGACTTGCAGCTCACCATAAATGCCAGTTTTATTAAGAAGAGGAGAAATCTCGGCTCATTTGTTTCTTCTGGTTTTTATCGAGGATGTCAGGGTGAAAGAGTACTATGAGTGTTAGCGCATATTTATGTGCTGATCACAGTGTTGCCTATCACCTCTGAATATGTATGACGTGTCCCCGAGAGCATACATGTTCCATTTTATGGCCTCTTCAAAAGAAACGTGCATGTGTGTGATGTATGACAGGTTAACAACGGCTCCTTTCTCATTTGGCCTCCCCACCTGCACTCCAACACATCTTTGGTCAACGGGGGTGGGGGGGTGAGAAGAGCTCGATAAGACTGAGGAGTTATTGACTAGAAGACGTAGAGCTTCTGCACAGCTTGTGCAAGCAGACAGAGCTGAATTATGCTGAGACTTCCAGATGTGTGTGACTCTGTGGACGATGATCCCCAATCCACGAGAGAAGGCCCCATCTATTAAAGCTACTCCTTCCCTGTTGTTGAATACACACACACACACACACACACACACACACACACACACACACACACACACACACACACTCCTCTCTCTCTCTCTCTCTCTCTCTCTTTTCTCCAAATCCTCTTTGTTTAAATATTTTCCATTACTGCGATGCACTCTGGATGAATTATTGCATTAACACTTTTTGTATGCCAAATGAACACCAGAATACTGAAAGCTGAGAAGGAATTAGGCCGAAGCCGAAATGAAATTACTAGGATGCTGAAGGAGGAAAGGGAGACTCTTAAAACTGTATCACTGCGGCTCATTTCACGGCTCACTAGAGAACGAGTTTTATTAATACAGCTGCAGTACACTAAAAAACTATTTTGCTCAGGATTTTTCCTTTTTTGCCATTGCTATTTGCAGTTCCGTCAGATTTAGATTTTTTCTGAAAAGTCAAAAGTGTCTGACCGAGTTGACGAAGAAACCATTTTTTACTTGTTTTTGAAATAAGATCAGTCACTCAGAGTTTCACACGCAGGCTGAACATGAAAGTAGTATCTCCTACATTAGCTTCTGAGACAGGGAAAGCTCAGATTAGAAAAACATTGTGCATGGCGGTGCAGTGGTTAGCACTGTTGCCTCACAGCAAGAAAGTTGCTGGTTTGAAACTCGGCTGCAGCCTTTTTGCGTGGAGTTGCGTGTTCTCCCCATGCATGCGTGGGTTACCTCCGAGTACTCCGGTTTCTTCCTCGGATCACAACATGCCCTATAGGTTAAAAATTGTACGTCATTTTTGATAAAAGTGTCTGCCAAATAAATAAACATATATAAACAAAAAACAAGTCAGATCTATGTGTCACTTAACATTCATGGTCTCACCCATCTTGGCTCACGACAAGGAAGGCTGCTGTTGGTTTAGCGTCCACGAAACAGCAGAGAACGTCTCCACTAGTAGAAGCTAACTGTTAGCATTAGCAACTCCACAACATGGCAGAACTCCTTCAGGCTTGAATTATTTGTAGAGATAAAACCTCAATGTTGCAAAGCAAATGGAGTCCGTGGAAGAGTCGCATTGTTGTTAGCCAATCAGAAACGAGATGTCCAAATATGAGAAAATAAGTGTCCAAATCCTGTCATCTTCTGCTCACCTCTCCTCTGACTCACTTCTACTTTCTGAAACAGGAGTGCTAGAGCTATTTCCCCACAGAGATCCACAACATTGCTTTAATTTATACACGAGGCCACTGCAAGTGTGTTGAAAAAAGAAGTGAACTTGGTCTTTAAACTAGAAAACCTAATCTGACATGTATGGTTTTGCTGAATTTGTCTTTGAAAAGGACCCCATAAAACATCTGATGGGATTGAAATTGGGCAATACTCAGCATGATGGGACTAAGTGGTGATCTGAAACTCAAATATCCCATTTCAATTTTATAATCCAAGAACTCATCTTTGTCTGAGAATTACCTCTCAGTTTCCTTTAAAAAGAATATTTCAAACATCTCCAATCTCCATAAACTTCAAATTACTAAAATCCTGATTGATGAATCAGAAGGGAAGAGAATGTCAGACGGATAGGCTGACATCCAGAAACAGGCTTCAAAAATGTTTATTTATTTATTTTTTTACATTCACAGAAGAGAATTTTAATTATGGTTCCTGGTTAAATGGAAAAGGGGCGGAGTCTCAGAATAGGTAAACCAGTGAGAAACAATCTACGGATGCATTTTTCCTAAATTTCTTTAACTGGTTATTGATGCCCCTTAGTAGCCGGTTAACTGGAAACCAACCCCCCTCGGACGTACACAAACTTTTTCCAACTACTCTTTTTTTTTTATAATTCTGACGCACAGCTAAAGTCCCACACTCGTTACATTTAGGAAAAAAAGTAAAGAGAGAGTGGGAGGACAGCTGAAATGTCCGTCAGACTCAGAACTTGTTGCGTGGCGGACCGTCTGGCATGAAACACACAGCACGGCTTGCGATTACTTGCTTAAGCGCATTCTGGAAGCCACGGTTTTTAAAAAAGCGCTTTAGCTTCCTTACACTGAACTAAATAATTACACTGACATTTCTTTATTTCACCAGAAAAATTTGAATTCAGACGCAAGCAGGAGTATCATGGCCGACGGACCCGTTGCTGTCTCGGTTCAGCTTGCTGTGTCATGTTCTGCCAGGCTCAGCGCTTTGATGTGAGGTTTATTGTGTCCTAGAATGAAATAACTAAGAATAAGCTGCTCCTGCGCTGGTCTCTTTGCTAACCGCCTCATGTATGAGCACATTTGTTTGTGACAAGCAACTTTCTTCTTCTGTGGTTCTGTGGTCAGTAGACATATTTTGATAGTGGTGCTCTTGGGCCCTCTAGTAGCACAAAGTATATTACACCCAAGCGCAGCAGAAGAACTTGAAGCCGTTAACCGGGCAAAACTATTCTACCCAGTTACAACATTAACGGCAATTAACTGGTTAACAATGTACGTCCCTTAAACAAACCCAAGCAGACTTCATAACAAACTGCTGCATCATATTTTCTTTTTGTTGTGTTTGCAGAGTGCCTACTCCTGCTGAGTGAAGCCCCACCTGCATCTCTGTCACCTCCAACCAACCCGACGGTGGTGCCATGTGTGTGTGTAAGCCAGGCAGAGTCCTGGCCCAGTCCAGGCGGCCCGTCCTGGGTCTCGGCCTTCATCCATCCCCCATGACTCTCCTGCTGCCTTTGATTATCCTTCTAACCAGACCTTGGAGCAGCGTGTGTGCAGCACTAGGTATGCCTTTTCTTCTCTAGCTTTGTGTGTTCTTCAGTCTGTGACAACGTGGTGCAGAAAACTGTAAATGCATGTATAAATACACATGCACACATACATATGTGTGAATGTGTGTGTGTGTGTGTGTGTGCACGCTGTTCCGCATGTGTGAGCAAGCGTGGGTATCAGTCAAGGAGCAGATCCCGGCCTGTCAGTACATCAGCCCTGAACTGTGGTGTTGTTAATGTGTTTTGATAAGGCGGGAGGTCCCATCAGCATGTTTCTCATCAGCTTCTTGATTACAACATCTCAACACATTTCCTGCCTCATTGGTCCTTGCACACACACACACACACACACACACACACACACACACACACACACACACACACACACACACACACACACACACACCCTCTCTTAGCTATCACAGCTCAGAAAATGTCACCAAGATGATTTTTCCCCCTCCTAATGAAATAAGGTATATAGCAGCATTTCAAATGGTCTTTTTTTTTCTTTGTATTTTTTTCATTTGTTTAACTACTTTGAGGCTTCTTTGACACAAAATATTTCTGAATTATTTTTAGCTGCAGAAAAAAATTCAGAATTACACAACAGCTGCCGTTGGACCACCTACACCGCAGATCAGCTTGAAATATATTTCACTGAGAAGAGGTGTTTCATAAGTAGAGATACATTTAGATAACACTGACTTTTATTTTGGAGGGTGGGGCACCATCCTTGTGCAAAGCAACATTTTATACATTTTAGTTTATTAAACTGAAATTGGGGCATTGACTGGTTTTTGCTCATTTATTTATCCAGTTATGGGAATTTTACACGGCTGTGTTTTAAAAAGTCTTCCCTACTCTGCAAAAACTACGTTAAATGCTTTGATTGATTTTTCCATCCATCCATTTTCATCTGCTTATCCGGAGTCGGGTCGTGGGGGCAGTAGCCTAAGGCGAGAGGCCCAGACTTCCCTCTCCTCAGCCACTTGGGCCAGCTCCTCCGGGGGAATCCCAAGGTGTTCCCTGGCCAGGTGAGAGACACAGTCCCTCCAGCGTGTCCTGGGTCTACGTTTAGGTCTCCTCCCGGTTAGACGTGGCCAGAAACCTCACCAGGGAGGCGTCCAGGAGGCATCCTGACCAGATGCCCGAGCCACCTCAACTGGCTCCTCTCAATGTGGAGGAGCAGCAAATCTACTCCGAGCCCCTCCTGAATGACCGAGCTTTTCACCCTATCTCTAAGGGAGAGCCCAGCCACTCTGTGGAGAAAACTCATTTCGGCCGCTCGTATCCGCGATCTCGTTCTTTCGGTCACTCCCCAAAGCTCATGACCATAGGTGAGGTATAGGAACGTAGATCGACCGGTAAATCGAGAGCTTCGCCTTCTGACTCAGCTCTCTCTTCACCACGACAGACCGGTACAACGCCCGCATCACTGCAGATGCAGCACCAATCCACCTATCGATCTCACGCTCCAGTTTTCCCTCACTCATGAACAAGATCAATTTTATTTATTAATTTTTTTGGCTTATTCCCTTGCTTAATCCAGAACAAGAAAATGTGATCATACGTAAGAACATTGACCTTATTTTCACGTAGTGCTGTTTTAGCAGATTATACCTTTTGTTTCTCCTTTTACTAATTATCAGACCAAATGTCTAAAAAAAAGGCTTTTTTACGTTATTGAATTTTTTTTTTACAGTGCATATCTCGCTACTTTTACACACATGCACGATTTTCTAAAATGAAAAACAAGTTTAACATTACGAAAATTCAGATACTGAAGTAAAGAATATTTTATTTGAGTCATGTCGTCCATGTCTCCTGATCGGACTCTCATTTTAAATACTAAAAAAATTCCCATAATGTCTTTTGTTTACTGGGCCCATCTTACTCTAACTGCATCTGCCACTTTTACATCATAGACTTTGTTGTTTATTGGGGGGGGGGGGGGGGGGGGGGCACATATTTACTGATCTCTTAAGGCAGGGGTCTTCAAATAGGTTTGTTCAAGGGCCGGAGTTTTTTCAAGCAGACTAAATAAAGTTGAAGTATTATTGTATCTTAATTTAATAATATTTAAAATGGCTTTGTTTTCCTTCTAAACTGCTTTGATTGTGGTTTTAGTTGTGTTTTGAGAATGTAAACAATTATTGATATTTGGGACATGAATTTTGCTGCTAAACTTCAAAGCCCCCAAATTGGGAGACGTTACACCCCAAAATGTCTGCAAATGGGGGGCCGGCTGTAAAGATTTGGTGGGCTAAATGTGGCCTGTGGGCCGCCAGTTGAGATTCACTGCTAAGGTGACAGAAAACTAAAAATGAGTTCCTTGTGCACCAGGGCCTTCAAACACACACAAAAAAAAGCGTAAATAGATTTTTTTTAACTTGTTGTAAGTTGCTCTTTTAATAGCTTAAATTTGAAGAAACTCACTTAAAAACACACAAACAGGAGAAAGTTAACATTTAAACCTGAAAAAAGTGAATTCAGTATTTTTATTGTAACGGTCATTAAATTTTAATTTTTTTCTCAGGAGACAATTTCCACACTAATGCAGATTTGTCTCACCTGATCTGAGGAAAACTTCCAAGTCCTGTAACTTTTCTGCCACTAAGAGACCGTGAAGTTCTACCTGTTCCTTCCCGTTATTTCTGAGCACTCAGCCAATCTCTCAGTCAAATGATCACAAGTTACCAAGGTGTTCCATTAAAATCAGACCAGTTATGGTCCGCAACAGGGGAGTGAAACCCGCTGATGAAAAGAAAAAGGATCCTGATTATTCCTTTTTGTTCCCGAGAACTTCCTGATCATAACAGGTTTTCGTTGAGAGCAAATCCATTCCGAAGCGGAGCCTTGTAGAGCTTTTCTCAGGCTGTTGGAAGAAGCTTAAGTGGTTATTTTGCCCACGGGGTCGGTTTTGCACAAGGATCTGTGTTGAAGGGCATTTAAGAGAACATAGAAAACATTTCGGATTCAACACAAAGCCAAGAAAAACCCTAAGACGAACATGAAATTCATTCATAATCCGATAGAAAAGAGGAAGCGGTTTAAGCCATGGCTCATTTCTTTCTTTTCCTACTTTTGATAGCCCACAAATTATTGGCAGGAAAATAGGTGCCGTTTTCTCCTCCAGTGTGTGTATTCGTAAGAGTCTAGGCAGAAAATATCCTTCTCCTGCGTCTAAATCTGGCGAGGATAAATTTGTTCTGTCTGACTATTCATCGTGTTTTTTTTTTTTTTTTTTTTTTTTGCTTCTTCCTGCTCAGGATTATGGCAAGCATAAAATGTAACCACGTTATTTCTGACACTGAGAGTGATCCTTCTCAAAACACAAGCGCCCTTTCTGTCACCGTGATATTCCAGCTCCTGTCGCGGGCATTGTGGAGAAATCGGAAGCTGGTCTGTGTGGCCGTTTGAAAGTGAAGGGCGTGGGATGACGTTCAAACAGGTCGACGCATCTGCCAGGGATGCTTTGATGGGCAGAGGTTTTATTCGTTTTATTTTTATTTCCAATCTCCGAACACCACGGTATGCAATGCAGGGAGGGAGGGGTCCAGGTTGCCATGGTAAGGGTCATCCTGACTTCGCCCTGATGGATAGCTGCGATTCCGTCGCTGAAGAGGAGTTAAGCTGGGCGCCATAGCAACAGGCCACAGGCAGATAGCGTGTAGCTGTTTCACTGATCTGACTCAGCCACTGAGAAAAGTGTAGGTTCAGTGCTGTTGGTTCAATATCACACTTGGAAATTGCTGTTTTCTTGCAGAGGGCAACAGCGGCGCTTTGATGTAATCACCGAGATTGTTCTCCTGGATTCTCCTGCCGAGGCCGAGCGGGAACGCCAACGTTTAATAAGCTCGTAGCATTTATTAAGATCTGTAGCAAATCTGTGGAAGTGTGGCATTTACAGGCACACAATCACGCCTCTGGTATTAATACATTAAAACCAATTATAATGCTGTGAAGCTTCAGCCAACACCTCTCCTACCTGTGAAACGCTCACGTGTCACGACAGCTTCTGCTGTGCTCCAGAGTCCTGCCATGGAGGAAGCAGAGGATAAGGTGTATAAAAAATAAAACAGAGAGAGAGAGAGAAAGATGTTCCTCTGAAGCCTGGCCTCAGCCTGGCCCCATCTTTTATTTATGACCCACAGGAAGTCCTTCAGCTTGTCCTCTAGATGATACCCAGGAAGTAAGCACAATGGCGCAGCCATCAGGACACAAGTCAGCCTGACCGGTCACTGATGGTGAAATGGGGCGTGGGCGGCAGGGAGTTGTGGAGATGGTTTGATGTCTTCGGGGTATGAAGATGTCAGCTTTCATACTTTCCTTTTTTTCCCTATCCCTCTTCCTGTCATTCAGCCTCTCCAAAGTTCACCAAGATACCCACAGACCAGATCGGAGTGTCAGGGGGCGTGGCATCATTTGTGTGTCAGGCCGTCGGCAACCCCAAGCCTGTCGTCTTCTGGAACAAGAAGGGCAAGAAGGTCAACTCCCAGCGTATCGAGGTGGTTGTCACAGTGCACAAAGCTGAACTCTTACAGGAGAGGAAACAAAACCAGCTCATTTCTCTTTCCTGTCATAAATAGTACGTTGATCTTGGGCTTCAGATAGAGCAGCAGGTTGTGGGATAAAGCACCACTTTTAACATTCATCTGTATGAATGTGTTTAGCATTTTTAATGTGACTTCAGTTAGAAAAAAATGTTTAGCATTTTGTAGGAAGACCATATACTCTCATGTTTTTTCACTGAAGTAGGAGCTAGATAGTTTTACAAGCATATTTAGACACAATCCAAAGTAAAAACTAAAACTCTTAAGGTGAGCCAAGTGTTATTCATGAAACAAGTCTGCAGAGTTAGAATCCACCCAGAAGACGTTACTCCTGATCCGTTTGCGGTCCAGACCATCTCCACTTGTTTACATCACAATTTAGCCAACGCGCATAATTCCCGTCTGCTTGGCACGCTTCAGTCAAAGCACGAGCAGCTGCCTTGCTCTCTAATGTTGGTACAAATCAGCTGAGCCATCAGATCAGACCGGGTCTTCTGGGAAACAGAACTTTAAAACCGCTGCATACGAGAAGTGCTGCGTCTACGCAAAACATGTTAACCTATTCCTTTAAAATGGCAAATTTGCTCAGATGAATGAGGATGATAAGACTCCTAAATGTTTGTTTTCTCGTCTGAGCGGCTGCGTCTTTTGATCACACGTGCAGTAGAAGATGGTAATTGGTAACCTTTCCAGTTAGTGATAAATGGATTATTTTACACTTCGAACAAAGTCAGGCTCGCTGCGTAATCCAGCTGCTGAAATAAACGAATGACTTGGCTGCTTCAGCGTGACAGATTAATGAGAGCGATATCAATTTTCTCTGCTAACCTCGGGCTAGAGGGCGAACGAGTTTGAAACCATTTTAAAAATTGATTAAAACACAACAAAGAGGAGGGTAAAGCATTGTTGTGCACGCTTTTGGTCACTCTACACATGCTGTTAGACTTTAGTTTCTACTAGATGCTAATAGATGGAGGTGTGTTTTTATTATTTAAACGGAGGCCTGGCTGTAACTCTATGCAGTGGTGTGGCCTGATTCTTAAAGACACGGCTTTCAAACAGGAAACTGAGATCCAGCTCACATGTTGGTAAGTACAGGGTCAGGAGTGTGTATACAGTTGCTTATTCCACCTCCTGTGATTAAGCAGGAAATTTAAAAAAGTAATGATGTTTCTCTAATTAAGACAATAAATAAAAACCACTTTAAAGGAGCAATATGAAAGAATTGCACAGTGAAGTAATCACAAAACTGTCTAATGCTGGGGTATGCAATTCCGAGCCTAGGGGGCCAGTATCCAGCACATTTTAGTTTCCACTCTGAACACACCTGCTTTCAATCAGCAGGTAATACACAGGCTCCTGTAGAGCCGGATGAGCTGCTGCACTGATGATTCAACCACTGAATCAAGTTGGAGCAGAGAAACCACTAAAACGTGCCGGATACCAGCCCTCCAGGACTGGAATTGAATACCCCGGGTCTAATGTCTCAGTCATGTTGGAAGTAAGGTTACATGGATACAGATTAACTTCTCAGCTAGCTGGGAGGCTGTCGATTTTTCTCATTTCAAGCTAAAGATGGACGTAGTCTTTGTTTATAATCTGTGAGTCCAGTGGGTTGCCAAGTCAGTGCCAGCAAATGCTGCAGCGCTAGCATTTGTAATTGAACATCGGCAGGCAAAACGCAGCAGCCAGTAAACAGGAGCGACCCAGAAGTTATTTCTTGTACCCATATGAAACCATGAAATTGTTTTGTTTTACTCAAATATCAGGATAAGAAGGCTAGAGGCTAACGTTGAGCTAACATTGCGGTGAATTGGAAGCAAGTAGTCAGCCCTAAAAAATCTCAAACTACTTTTTAAATTACCAGCAGCTCAATATTACAGTGAAATGTATTTATCTCCATATCAACTTACTGTGTTTGAATCGTCTTTACTTCTTTACTTCTGGCACTGATTCATAACTGGCAACAGCCGTGAAACTCGCAAAACAGGATTGAGAGATTCACACGTGTGTTTAGAAAAGGAGCTGCAGTACCCAAATGTGACCACAGGATGCCATTATTATTTCAGTCTTACATATTGCACCTTTAAGATTTTTACAGTTTTCTGGTTTGGTGATGTTGTGACTAATATTGTGTTTGTTTGGCTGATCAGACTATAGAGTTTGATGAAGGAGCCGGAGCCGTGCTGAGGATCCAGCCACTCAGAGCGCCCCGAGATGAGAACTTCTACGAGTGTGTGGCCCGGAACAGTGAAGGACAGGTCGCTGTCACTGCAAAGCTGGATATTATCAGAGGTGAGGACTGTAAACATAAATATTCATGTATTTATACAGTTTCAGCTGTAACTTTCAGCCTCATTGGCCTGTTAGTTGTAGATGTGACAATGCCACACCCTGCCTCTACATCAGGCTGCAGCGAGCTGTTCCTTTTATAGTCCTTTAGAGAGTGCGCCCAAGCATGATCTGGCCACAGAAAGGGCCGGCCAGCATGTTAGCTCAGGGGCATTTTAGCATTGCTGCTTGCTGCAGTCATTCTGCTTCCTGGCCAGAGAGAGGGCGTTAATCCAATGTTGACTGTCTCCTTGGAGGAAAACCTATCTAATGCCTCGCTCCAGCAAGTTACGAGCTTAAGTTGCAGCGTGTGGCTGTTTGCCTGGGATCTGAGTGTTGGCCGTCGGCCCGGCACAGCTGGACTGGAAGAGGAAACAGAGGGTGGCTGCTCAGGCTGACGCTTAAACAAGGAGATTCGTGGGATTAGGCTTTGGTTCGGCCAACAAGCCTTTGTTGCCAAGAGTGATTGTGGAGGAGAGGGAGGAGGTCGAGGAGAGGTGAGGGAGCATGATGGAGAGTAGGGAGGTTTGAGCAAGTTGAGCAGCACAACGTGATCGTGAGAAACAATAGAGATGAAATGGGACGTCAGAGGAGTTTGTGGGGGGTATGAGCACAGAAGATGGATGAGGATTGTAGAGTTGGCGGGGCTGTGTAGTAAGCAGAAGGCTGGTAGCCCAGGGAATAGACTCCTGTCCATCTGTTACCCAGTCCATCATCTCTGCACACACAGCTCCAATCTAAAGCACATTACCACAGAAACGGCACCTCAAGGCTCTGTGTGTGTGTGTGTGTGTGTGTGTGTGTGTGTGTGTGTGTGTGTGTGTGTGTGTGTGTGTGTGTGTGTGTGTGTGTGTGTGTGTGTGTGTGTGTGTGTGTGTGTGTGTGTGTGTGGTGGTTTCTCTACGATTATGCTGTATAAGTCTCACTTTCTTTCTCTAAGCTCAGTTTCCAAGGATCCTCTCATTCTGTCTTCGACTGTAAATAACAGAGCATCCGTAAGTGAAGCAAAATGGAGATGGATAACAACAACCTGCCACAGGCATGCAGACACACATCATTCCTGCTGCAGAGACAACAGCAAGGCTTATTTTGTAATTTGTTCAGGTTTGTTAATACAAAAGAAATGTTCCATCTATTATTACGACTAAGCTTCTCGGTCAGTTGTGCATTTGGTCATTTTAAGGTTGAAATGAAAGTTGTTCCAAATTCTTTTCCCTTCTTTAATGTAATCTCAAGTTTAAAATACACAAAAACTGTGTTTAATTTATAGCTTTTATTTTAGTTAAAAAGTGCTTTTGAAGATATTTTTTTACATAGTTGCTCCCATGTTGTATTTGTGATCTAAGGCCATTAAAGCCTTTAAATGTCTTTCTAAGCACAGGTTATATAATGAGATTAATATTTAAAAAACGTTTTAATAGAAAAAAATACATAATTAGTGAGGATTTGAAGTTCCAGAGAGGATGCACAGGTCAGAATTTAAATTACCATAAAAAATGCTACAAAAAAAGGCAGAAAACCACATAAAAGAGAACGAAAAGTAATAAATCAATTAGACACACAATAAAAACAGATTCTTAAACCATTAAAACAGATGCAAAGATGCAGAAAGAGGAGGATTTACCTCCTGAAGCGTAGAGCATACTATTAGCGGGTTTCTGTCTGGTTATTTAATGGCTGCAACAGACTCCTGAACAGGTCATAACAAATGCTTTTAGGAGTTTAAGTGTGCAGAAATTCTGCTTGGGTCAGTTTTTGAAAAAGTGGTTCATTGGGGAAAAGGCTCAGTGGGTTAGGAGGAAGATTTTTCCCATTACCGTTCACAACTCCTTCCACTCCCATCTTTTCATCCTCAGATGTGTTTCATCTTGTCGTTTTTCTGAGTTGACTGAGACTAATTATCAAAGCTGTGCTGTATGACGACTTGTGGCTGGCCACAGGATGTTAGCTGCTGCTCTGTAGGCTGCCTAATGGATGGACCATAGGTTCTGGTCGGGGAGATCTTTCTTTTTGTGCCGTATCCACCATCATCACCCATCCCATTAGCTTCTTCCTTCCTTTTAGGTTTTTTTTCCTTCCCGCTCCATCTTCCTGTACTTTTACCCACAGCAGTATCCGTTTCTAATTTCTTCTCTTTTGTTTTATTCATCGTTCATCTTCTCTCGACCCGCGCTGTCTGCTCAGACTTCACTCCTCCTGTTGCATATTTCAATCCACCCTCCCTCCACCACTCTTATGGACACTGCAGTTGTGTTGTTTTGCTTTTAGGGGATAGAAATATCTGCAGTTCTCCATGTTTGAGAACCTCCGGTGGGCGGCTGATTCTCATGTGTGCAGCGCTGCACACGCACATGCACATGTGCACAACCTTCACGGCTGCATGTGAATTTGTGCACGCTAATTTCTTCCTGTTTGTGCAAATGCGTGTGCACGCCCAGTTCGTGCAGAGTAATCCTGATTATACTCATCTCCCAGCGTCCCATTTGGGGGGGGAATGGGAGGTAAGGAATGGGGGAGAAAAAAGGGGGCGGAGAGATGTTCTGCTACCTCCCTTCATATGAACAACAGAGTGATTTCCCCCCAGGCGTCAGCTGCATTGGCAGGCCGGCGGCTCAAGCGTATTTCAGTATGAAAACAACAGAGAGTATCAGCTCAGCCTGCATGAGGATTATGCTCCTTGAGTTGAGAGGAGAACTGTCTCTTTCATCACTCACCCTCTTCTTCACTTTCCATGTCCTCCCTCTGTTCTTTTCCCTATTCTTCTCTCTTTTACTTTCTCTTCCTGCGTTTTGTACACGTGGGCTCACCGTGTTTGTCCCTTATGCTGCAGCAGCGCTCTGAATGGGCGAGGACGCGTCTGCTTTTTTGGGGGTGTATGATTGATCCAAGAGGTCTGGATTTGCATTGTATTGGTGATCTATTATCATAAAGGTTTATTAGCATTTAAAGTGCTTTCCTACAGAACCTTCTGCAGCCTATGGGAGTCAATGCATTAGAGTCTCTGAAGACTGCTGAGTGCTGGCAGATTAATCCTGAATCGGACTGCCTGAGATCAGCTTTTATACACGTTGCGATTTCCCTCTGAAATAACCTGAAATGTGAAAAGGCAACCTGTTTTCTAACAGGTCAAAGTGTGTGTGTGTGTGTGTGTGTGTGTGTGTGTGTGTGTGTGTGTGTGTGTGTGTGTGTGTGTGTGTGTGTGTGTGTGTGTGTGTGTGTGTGTGTGTGTGTATGCATGCATGCATACGTGTGTGTACATGCGGGTGAGTGAGGTACAAAAGCACACAGAGCTATGAAACCTGGATAAATGTTTGTTTGTTTGTACTCTATGCATTATGTGTTTGGCTCACATGGGTGTGTATCCTTCAGCCGTATGTGTGTGCGACTGCGGCGGACACACATATTGCAAATTTGCCCAGATCTGGTTGGCTCAGCTGACTGGTTTTGGGCACCAGGCCTGATTGCCCTTCTGCAAACATAACCAGGCCAAAAATGTTCACTCTCAACCTCTTGACGCACACAAACAGACACAAACACAAAGCTCCAGGGAACAATGCTGTCCGGCTCTTTGCCAATGTTCCCTGACACACTGTTGACACACACAGTGTTTGTTGTACATACACACGGTGCCTTTTTTAATTCTACGGGCCATCTTATCAATTTAACCAGGAGACAGAAAATCAGCTTGACTTTTGTGCAGCATGTTTGCATTTGATAAATGATTCATTTGGTGAAAAGTGTGATCAAGGCCATGCCCGCAGTGTCTATTTCAAGCGGTCGCTGACTCATCCAGGAACCCGGCGGAATACCTGTAGCTCCCTATTCTCATCTCCAGTGAACTGTGCTGAAGAGTTCAGAACAGCAAGCTGCCTGCTGGTTTATCTGCACCAAGAGGACCGAGTCTGCAGCAATGTGGTCATCTGTTGGTCTGATTGCCTCAAAAGCATTTCATCTTGATTATGACAAAAAAAAAACACACAATTCTCTTAGTTAGCACAGAAAGCCTGGTTGTTTAACACGGACATTCACTGAGTTTGGAAGCACACAACATTTATATGATGAGGATGCTGCAGCTTGTTCATCAAGCTGGAGTTTTCCATCCCTGTAGATGTAGTTGTACTTGTGTCACTGGTAAACTTGTCTTGAAAGCACAAAATGTTTCTAGTAGGGATGGACAATATATCTACATCAATATCAGTATTGGCCGATGTTAGTCATTTTTAAACATATCGATATCGGTTTGATAAATTAAACTGGGCCGATATTAACAACCGATATTTTTTCCATCTCGTCTCCATTTGTTTGCCTGTTTCAGAGGGTGAGGGGGGTGATGTGTAATTGTTTAGTCACGTGAACAGTGAATTAAATAATCTCAGAACCGTAAATGTGTGTGTTGTGTGTACATAATAACATAAATTCAGCTTTAAACATTTTCATTCCATACAAAATCTGCAGATTTTAGAAGCATTAATGTCAGTATATTGATACCGGCAAATATCGGTTATCGACCATGATAGTGGTCTTAATATCGGCATCAGCCTAAAATTTTCATATCAGCGAATCACTAACTAGTTTCTAGCATAAGTTTTTGGATTATGTAATACTTAAACCATCCAGAGTTTACAAGTTAACCCTTTCACTGGCAGGTCAGCCATAGAGCCCATTGTATTCAGCATATTTCATGAAAGTGTTCACTGAACTTAACAAATAAGAAAAACAAAAAATTGGAAATGTTATGTATCTGTCTGTCTGTCTGTCTGTCTATCTGGAACTGCTTTAGAGTTGTTCTCCAGTTATGTTTCTGAGCGTTTCTTCTCTGTGGTCATCTCTAAGTTTCATTTCTCCTCCACCTCCCTCACCCACGGTGTCCCAAAAGGTTCTTTGCTGGGGCCTCTACTTCTATGGCGCGGTATGGGGGCCAAAATTAAGACTACTGCCCAGCAGCAGGAGGCTATATCAATTCC